TTTTTTTGAGACAGGATCTGACTCTGTCACTCAGGCTGGAGTACAGTGGCACAATGTCTCAATCTTTTGGGCTGAAGTGATCCTCCAACCTCAGCCTCCCTCCCGAGTAGCTGGGACCACACTTGCACACCACCACACCTGCCTAATTTTTAAATTTTTTTTTTTTTGTAGAGATGAGGTCTCTACAAAAAAAGAGATGTTGTCCAGGCTGTTGTCCAGGCTGGAGTGCAGTGGCGCTCTGTTGCCAGGCTGGTTCTTCAACTCCTTGGCTCCAGTGATCCTCCTGCCTCGGCCTCCGAAAATGCTGGGATTACAGGCATGAGCCATTGTACCTGGCCCATTTGAAGTTTCTTAACCCCTATTCTATAGATAACTGATCCTGATACTTTGAGCACTGTGAATAAGCACTCAGTAATTTATTCAGCAAAACAGTTATAGCACCAACCATGTATAAGGAATTGTGCTGGGCAGGGGACACTTCATTAGGGCTTTTTGATTTCTGAGTTTTTGGGAAGTGCAAAATGACTTAGCACAAATAATATTCAATTATTAAATTTCAAGTTCCTGTTCTGCTTTATTGCCCTTTCCATTATGTGTCTCTGTGTGCCTTCCCAAAGCATTTACTTTGGTTTTAGATGTTGCTTGAAATTGATGATAGGGAAAAACATATAGGATGCAGATGCTAAACACTGTGTAACAGTTGGTCAAAGAAAAGGTGAGAATCTCAGAGCTGGGGAGATGAGTTTTTAAAAAAGAAAAGGTGAGAAACTACAGAACACAGGGGACATAATAATGAGAAATCATGACCAAAGAAAAGGGAGAAAAAGCACTATTCCTTGCATTTGCTGAATAAACAGTTGGTATATGAGAAAAGTGAAAAAGGGTAAGATCATTATGTATAGAAAAGGGAGACATTAGAAATGATTATGGGGGAAGGAGGGTCTGAGGAGTCATAAACATGGGTGGCATAAGGAGTCAAGGCATTTGTTTTTTTCCCACAATAGTCTCTGGGTTGACCCTTGAAAATTAGGAAAGTTAAGGGTAAAACTTCTTGTACCTTGTCTCTAAATCCTGAAAACCTCCTTCCCTACTACCTCATTTTTTTTTTTTGAGACAGGGTATTACTTTGTTGCCCAGTCTGGAGTGTAGTGACAAGATCACAGCTCACTGCAGCTTCAACTTCCCATGCTCCAGCAATCCTCCAGCCTTAGCCTCCTGAATAGCTGGGGCTACAGCTGTGTACCACCATTCCTAGCTAATTAAAAAAAAATTTTTTTTATCCTTCAAGACATCTGAATAAAATTGTTGTAGAGACAAGGTCTCACTATGTTGCTCCCTTTTTTTACTGAGATAAAATTGACATAACGTATTATTAAACATTTTAAAGTGGACAGTTATTAATTACAAGAAAAAAATAGTAAATGTACTGTGGAGAAATCAGATCCTTTACTGTGAGAAAGTGATCAGAATTAGTATCACCAAAGAGGGACAGGGAGAGAGACATCATGTGTCTTTGGATATAATATCCTGAGGATACAATATCATACATGCAGTATTCTGGCAAGAAATGGATTACCTGAATCTAATTATGAGTAAACATTAGACAAACATAAATAACAAACCTAAAATGAGGATATCCTAAAATGAAGAACATTTTATTACCCCTTCACTAGAAAAAGGCTCGTATTCTTCAAGAATATCAAAGACAAAGAAAAGCTGAGCAACTGTGCCAGATTAAAGAACATTAGACAGACATGACGATTAAATGTAATATATGATCCTAAACTAGATCTTGCGCTCGAAAAGAAAAAAATGCTAAGAAAGATGTTATTGGATCCACTGACAACATTTGGAACATGGATGGTAGATGAAAGTGTTACAGCAATGTTAAATTTCCTGGAGTTGATAATTATATGTATTTTGTTTATATATGAGAATGTACTTATTAGCATATTCAAGTATTACGGGGTAAAGAAGCATGATGCATGCAATTTACTTTCAACTGGTCAGAAAAAAACATGTACGTGTATGTGTAATATATTTTTATGTATCTATGTATCTGTCTATGTGTCTATGTATCTATTTATATGTGCATATCTATCTATCTATCTATCTATCTATCCATCCATCCATCCAGACAACTGCCAAGTGATAAAGCAAAAGGGGCAAGATATTAATAATCTGAGTAATGGGTATATGGATCCTCTTTCTGTTACTCTTGCAACTTATCTATATATATTTTTTTTTTTTTTTTT